TAGCTTATTTCTTTCAAGCATGATTGTAAATCTAGTTGATCGAATGAGACATTTATATTCTTTTCAGGCGTGCTTGTATGCCATGTAAATGTTGTGTATGTGCGGCAGGCATTAGGGGATGGGTTGATCAGAAGATGATGATGTTGATATATATATGCTTTAGATGACCACGTGGTTCGCCTCCACTATGCGCACAGTGGTTGGCCTTTTTTTTAAAGCCCCGTTCCTCAATACTTACTTGGCTGAGTTTGTAAAGGGGGAATGTGGGACTGTGACACCTCCTGGTTGGGGTTTTTTTAAGGAGGAGAGCCATAGTCTGGGCTTGGGCTCTGTACCTTTGGCTGGGTATATCTCAAACACTGGAGAAGCTTAGTTAGTTCAGCGTGTGGGCCAAACCATATTTAAGCCTATGGTTCCAGTCAGCGGAATAAAGATGGATGGAGTAATAAAGGGGCTTTTGGTACTGCATAATGACATGTTATGAGCTATACCATATGAAATTTTTACGTTATCACTGAATAATTCTTATGAACTCACTTCTATATTGGTTGTATAATTGTGTGATTGTAGTTTGTGCATGTATGGTTAAACTTTGGTTTACTGAGACAATAGTGCTCACCCTTTCTTTAACATTTTTCAGGAGAAAGCCTAAGAAAGAATCAAGGGAAGGCATTGGAGGAATGAGCCTTTGGCTCTCATACTCCTCACAGCACATGCGAGATTCTATTTACTTTTCACCATGACTATAGGACCTTTTGTCATTTTTAGACTATATTCCTTTTGATCTATCTGCTTTTAGTTATTGAATGGTAGTCCACCATGAACTGGCTTAGATTAAGATTTCTAGAATTTAGTTATATGTTAAATTTATGATGTCAAAAAAAAGCTTTGAATTAAATAAAGTAAGTGTGGTGTTTATTTTTTGATAATTGTTTGCTAAGTGTCTAGATAGTAGGACAGGGTGTTACATTTTTGGTATCAGAGCCAAGTTGTTCCGTGGCCATTTCATTGTTGATTTTCCTTTTACACTTAGAAGTCATGGCAAGTAAATATCAACATGTGCACTTCCCTTCTATTTGAGTGTAGATTTACATAAAATTTTACTTTTTAACTCAAATCTTCTTCAGGTATTTTTATAGGAGTACAGAATCATAGTGAATCATAGAGCTAACTCAAATCCACCTCCACCTCTACCTCCACCTCCACCTCCCCAAGATCAACCTTCGCATGAAAACAATGATGCTATCTTAAGGGAGTTGAGAGATCTGGTTAAGAACATAGGTCAAAAAGTGAACAGATGTGAGGTAGAGATAGCTGTAATGAGAAGACAAGGCAACTACCGCATCGGAGAGAATGGCCCTATTCATGAGGAGGCTAGTGATCATCATTCAAAGGATGGCAATAAAATAAATGAATCAAGTAGTAGTACGGGAGTACGCCCTCGGCCTCAACCGACCAGTATCACTCAAGTTTGGGAAAGCTTTCAAAAATTTAATCCTCCTGTATTTGAAGGTAAAATGAATGCAACTGAAGCAAAGGAATGGGTGAAGCGACTAGAAAAGATTTTCAGGGTTGTGGAATGCACCTCGCCACAAAAGGTACGAATTGCTGAACAACTATTATAGAAAGCAGCCCAACAATGGTGGGATAGCACCAAACTTGATAATGATGATGACATTACTTGGGAGGAATTCAAGAGAAAGTTTTTACAACATTACTATCTTAATTCTCTAAGAGCAGATCAAGAAGCAGAGTTCCATGCTTTTAAACAAGGAAATTTGCACGAGGAGGAATTTATAACTCGTTTTCTGGAGTTGTCCAAGTACAGTACCTATCTCTAAAAGCACCATGATCCTAAATGGAAAGCAAAGCGGTTATTGGAAAAGGCTGGCCAGAGTTGAGAACAGCATTATCACCTTTTCAAATTGAAGATTTTAAAGAGATATGTGACAAAATATACATCATTCCTAAGAGGATGAGAGAACAAGAGGCCGAGAAAAGGAAGGAATCTCAAGTTAGATCTACCCCATTCTGGAGACCTACTAGGGGTATCAGTAAGAGGAATAGCTATAATGCTAGTGGTTCTAGAAAGCGGCTAAGCCAACCTCCAAAGAGTCAGTTTAACAGCCCTTCGAAAAGCCAATTCAGTGGACCCTCAAAGAGCCAGTTTACAGGGGATAATATTCTTACAAGGGTTCTACTGCACCTGCAGCTAGTATAGCTAATAGTCAGAGGTGTGCAAAATGTGAAAGGGTACATTAAGGAAAATGCTTAATCTATTTCAAGTGTGGGAAGCCAGGCTACATCTCTAGAGTTTGTAAAGAAGGGTCACGAGGAGCCAATGATGCTAGGACTACAGTTCCTGGTAGGGTGTTTGCAATATCACAGCAGGAGGCGAATGAAGAACCCAACCTCATTAAAGGTATTTTCAAACTCCAAGGTTTTGAAATTGAAGCTCTTTTTGATTCTGGTGTAACCCATTCCTTTGTGTCTGATGCTTGTGTTCTACGGTTAAAACTGTATGTTTGTAATTTACCATTTGATATGATTATTTCTACACTGGCTGGAGCCTCAGTTAAAACCTCCCAAGCTTCTTTGAATTGTATGCTTGAATTCAATGGTAGGACATCTACTATTGATTTGGTTTGTCTACCTTTAAAGGGTATTGATTTAATAATAGAGATGAATTGGTTATCGGCAAACAACACCATTCTTGATTGTAAGAGGAAGACCATTTCTCTACCAATCCCTTCTGTGTATCCCAATAGATCGCAATTGTTATCTTCAGTACAAGCAAAGAAGTATATTCATAAGGGTTGCCAGGCTTATATGATTTCTTTTTAGTGCAAGTAGAGGTGGAAGAAGGAGTAAATGAAATTGCAGTGGTAAGTGAGTTCTCTGATGTTTTTCCTAAGGACATGATAGGATTACCTCCAATGAGAGAAGTGGAGTTTGCAATTGATCTTGTGCCAGGAACGGAGCCTATATCTAAAGCTTCTTATCGAATGTCTCCAGCTCAGTTAGCATAACTAAAGAAGCAGATCAAAGAGTTAATAGAGAAGGGCTTTATTAGGCCCAGTGTGTCTCCCTGGGGATCACCTGTTTTATTTGTAAAGAAGAAGGATGGGAGCATGAGGTTATGTATTGACTACCGCCAATTGAATAAAGTTACCATAAAGAATAAGTGCCCCCTTCCTCGGATTGATGACCTACTCGATCAATTGACAGGAGCATCAATTTTCTCCAAGATTGACCTGAGATCAAGTTACCACCAATTACGAGTTCGAGCAGAAGATATATCGAAAACTGCATTCCGTACTAGGTATGGTCATTATGAGTTGCTAGTTATGCCTTTTGGATTAACCAATGCCCCAGCTATTTTCATGGACTACATGAATAGAATCTTCAAGCCTCACTTGGATAAATTTGTGGTGGTTTTCATCGATGATATCCTCATCTACTCTAAGGATGATGTCGCACCCGGAAATGCGACACGGACGGCGCGAGAGCAGAGGTTTTGGCCTTTGGAAGGAAGACCAGAGAAATGGGAGTCCCCACCAAGATTTTGAGGGAAATCTCGCGAAACTGTTTAAAGGTGGATAAGGATGGTCTACAAAATCAGAGAATAGGTTCGGGAGTCGGTTGAGTGTGGAGAAGGTGTTCGGCACCCCACAACACCCGTTCATGAGAACGATTACCTAAAGTTTGTTGTGCGATATTAATATGGTTTTAAAATTATTTTAATTATCCCTTTTATATTCATGTGTTTGATATAAAAATGATAACAATTAAGCGAGAAATATTTATTTATTTACGGGGAGGACTTGATTCAGAATCTAAGTCTGAGGCCTACGTACCCTGCGGTGGGGATCAAAGTCCACGTAGTTCGGGCTTGGTAATTGTTTGTGGGTGAAAATATATTTTTTTAAAGAGAAATTGATTAGAAATAAGTCACCATTTTGCAAATAAAATAATTTCTAAAATTTTGATATGTGTGTTTTAAATTGCAAAAAGTAATTTAATTTCAACTATTTTCTCAATTTTTTTAAATTTTTGGAATAAAGAAAAGAAAAGGGTTTAAAAATTATTTTTCATTTATGTTTTATGATTGAGAATTTAATCGCAGTTCTTGTAGAGCCTTATTGGCTCATACGATAATGCAATCATTCTAAATATCTGTGGAGATTTCAAAATCTCTCACAATAAAATAATTTATTTATATGTTAATAATAATTTATTCGAGCATGCATATATATATATATATATATATTTAGAGAATTTTAATCATCATACCTGTAAAGCCTTATTGACTTTTATGGTAATATGATTATCCTAAATATTTGCGGAGATTCAAAATCCTCACACCATAAAGGATTAAATATTATATATTTTAAATATATTTTAATACGTTATTTTATAATTCATATTTAAATATAGAAATCTTAATCGTTGTACCTGCAAAGCCTTATTGACTCTCACAATAGTACGATTATCCTAAAGGTCTACAGATATTATAAAAAAATCTCATATGACCAAAAGATTGAATACCTTATTTTGATTAATTAATTTTATTAAAAATATTTATAATTTTATTTACAAAAATCATTTATTTACTATATAAATCAATAATTGTGAAATTCTGCGAGGATTTATTATCACACACGATAATACACTTAATTTATTTATCTATGAAGATTCTTAAAATCTCTCATGAGACTCAAATATTTTATTAATAAAAAAATTAATTTTAATAATGGGTCTTTAGAACCTATATAAATACCTACAAAATTGATCCTCATACCTATAAAATCTTATTGATTCTTATGGTATGAGATCTTTTTAAATGTTTGTGAAAATTCTCAAAATCTCTTACTTCAAGTTTTAAAAATTGATATTTGTGCTTAGCATATGAGCATAAAAAAAACATACATTCAAGAATCATTCATTTGAATAAAAAATTCACAGAAGTAATTAATAAGGAATGAACCAACTTTACGTACACTCTCGCCATGCCTGTAACTGAGAAAGGAAAAGGAGATGAAGACCGAGCACATACACGTACACCACCGTCGACCACAGAGTGATTTAGAATGTGAAGAAGAAGAGGTGAAGTTCAGTCTCCTTTCCAAACCTTCAAACACACCAAGTCGAGAAGAAGGCTGGAGTTCTACCGAGGTACCACAGAGGAGAACCGAGTGCTCAGTCAATGACGGCAGAATGAGAGGAAGGAAAGAGAGATGCTGGCTCTGTAATAAATGTTGATTAAGCTCTGGAAAGGTTTCCAGTATAACTCTAACAAAGCAGTGCAACATGATGCTGGAACTGGAGATGAAGGTAGCTCCCTTAATAGGTGCTTAACATAGTCACCAATAACATGAGCGTCCTCATCAGAAGAAAATCCATTCTGACCTTGCTCATGTTCTTGAACTCTCCGATCTACCTCTTTCTTCACCGTTTTCATATGGTTTGAGTGCTGTCCTCCTCGATCTCCTCTCCGTTTTTATCTTCTCTCTCGTTTTTCATCGTCCATTCCCATGCTCTGTTTTTCTTGCTGTTTATCTCTATCCGATTTCTCGTCTGTTCCTCTTACTCGTCTCCTTTTTGTAATGTGTCTCTCTACCACTGCTCTATCTCCTTTCGGTTCCTCTTCTTTCTCTAACTCTTCTCCCTTTTGCTCTCGTCTTTCTCTCCTTTTCTTTATACTCTATCTTTTCTTTTTTCTTGCTTTGTTTTTCCTTCATGCTCTCTCTCTCTAGAAGTCCTTCTATGTTTTTTCCCACCAGTGCTTGTCCTTTTAAAATAGAAATAGGAAAGAGTTTACGTGCGAGGAAAGAGCTTACGTGCTTCACCTTTCTCGCTCTGCTCTGCCGTATTCTCTTTATTTTCTCTTCTTTTCTGCTGCCACATGGGTGCGTGCATCTCTGGCTCTATTTTTTGCCTTTTTCTGCATTTTTTTTGTGTGGCTGTGTTTGTGTGTTTACGTGTTCTGGTTTCTCTGCATGGCTGCAAGTTCACTTTTTTGCGTTTGGTCATGTGCTTTTCCGGCGATATCTTCGTGCATGCGTGGTTGAAGCTTGGGGCTGTGGTTTTGCTTCCCTTTTTTTTCATGCAACCCTCTGATCTTGCTGTCTGATTTCTTTATCCGTGTTGCTCACATGCGTTGAAAAGGGGGCCTTTTTAAGGCTGTGATGATCAGTGTTTCATCCGGCCCTCATGTATTTTTTTTTTTGAATTATTATTATTATTATTATTTGAAAATATAATCCTAGAAAGGATTAAATTTTATTTTTATATTTCATATATTTTTTAGTTATTTATTATTATTTTAAAAAAAATGCCCGGACAAAATACGGTGTTCACAAATGAGGAGGAGCACAGGGAACATCTCAGATTAGTATTGCAAGTTTTGAGGGAGGATAAGCTCTATGCAAAGCTATCTAAGTGTGAATTCTGGCTAAAAGAAGTGAAATTTTTAAGTCATGTTGTATCAGCCAGTGGGGTGTCGGTAGACCCTGACAAAGTGAAGGCAGTATTGAGTTGGGAAAGACCTCAAAGCATAACAGAGATAAGGAGTTTTATAGGTTTGGCAGGCTACTATAGGAGGTTCATTAAAGGATTCTCACAAATAGCCATGCCACTCACTAAGTTGACAAAGAAAGACTTTCCATTTGTGTGGAATGAAAAGTGTGAGATAGCCTTTCAAGAACTCAAGACCAAGCTGACTACGGCATGAGTACTTGTGATCCCAAATCCTACACAGACTTTTACACTGTATACAGATGCTTTTAAGAAGGGTCTGGGGTGTGTGTTAATGCAAAACAATAAAGTCATAGCCTATGCATCAAGACAATTGAAACCACATGAAGAAAATTACCCTACACATGACCTGGAGTTAGCAGTAGTAGTGTTCACTTTAAAAATCTGGAGGCACCATCTCTATGGTTCGCAATTTGAAGTCTTCAATGACCATAAGAGTTTAAAGTACTTATTCAACCAGAAGGAGCTTAATATGAGGCAAAGAAGGTGGATTGAATTCTTAAAGAACTATGATTATGAGTTAAAGTATCATCCTGGAAAGGCTAATGTTGTTACAGATGCCTTAAGTAGGAAGTCTCTCCATACAGCTCAGTTAAGCATTCATAAGCAAAAATTGTTAGAGGATGCCCAGAATACCCCTATTGAGATTTCAAGGATGATCGCTACCATAGAAGCACTAACAGTGGAAAGTCTAACGTGGAAAGAGATTAAGTTAATGCAATTGGAAGATGAGTCCTTATTGGGGATCGGAGAGGAAGTTGAGGAAGGAAGGAGGGAAGATTTTGAGGTGGGATATGATGGAATCTTAAGGTATAATGGGAGAGTATGTTTACCGAATGATGAGGTGTTGAGGAGACTTATATTGGATAAAGCTCATAGAAGTAAGTATACCATTCACCCAAGAGCAACTAAGATGTACCATAATTTGAAAAAGGATTGGTGGTGGCTAGGTATGAGAAAGGATGTAACTAAATTTGTTGCTTGTTGTTTGACTTGCCAAAGAGTTAAAATTGAACACCAGAAGCCAGTGGGGTTATTACAAAATCTAAAAGTTCTAAAGTGGAAATGGGATAGCATCACTATGGATTTTATTACAGGTTTACCTAAAACACCATCTGGCTATGATTCCATATGGGTAATTGTTGACAGGTTAACTAAGTCGGCTCACTTTCTAGCTATCAAGGTGAATGATCCACTTGAGAAGCTAGCACAACTTTATGTGGATGAGATAGTTAGGTTACATGGAGTGCCAGAGAGCATTGTGTCAGATCGAGACCCTTGGTTTTCTTCAAGGTTATGGAGAGCACTCCAGGATGCTATGGGGACTCGATTAAATTTTAGCACCGCTTACCATCCTCAAACTAATGGGCAATCTAAAAGGACCATTCAAACACTCGAGGATATGTAGAGGGCTTTTGCAATTGAGTTGAAAGGGAGTTAGGATCGACAACTACCACTTACAGAATTTGCCTATAATAACAGCTTCCACTCAAGTATTCAAATGGCGCCTTATGAGGCATTATATGAGAGGAAGTGCAGATCTCCTCTTGGTTGGACAGAGCTAAGTGAACGAAGCTTGTTAGGCCCAGATTTAGTGGACTAAACTACTCAAAAGATTGAGATGATCAAGCAAAAGCTACTCACGGCTTAAAGTAGACAGAAAAGCTATGCAGAAAAACAAAGGCGACCATTGGAGTTCATGGTGGGCGATCACGTTTTCTTAAGGGTCACACCTATAACCGACATCGGAAGAGCAATCAAAGCTAAGAAGTTAACTCCCCGTTTCATGGGTCCTTATGAAATTCTTGAGAAGATTGGACCAGTGGCTTATCGAATTGCCTTACCCCCCACAATTAGCGAATGTCCATAACGTCTTTCATATATCACAGTTAAAGAAGTATCATCCAGACCCCTCCCACATTATCGAACTTGAAAAGATTGAGCTCAAAGAAAACATGACCTATAGAGTGGAACCAAAACAAATTGTAGATGCAATGGATAAGCAATTGAGGAAAAAGACCATCAAGCTAGTAAAGGTGGTACAGAAAGGAATGGCTACAGGTGATGCAACCTGAGAGACTAAGGAAAAGATGAGGGAAGAACACCCATTTTTGTTTGAATAGGTATGAGTTGACTTGCACGTTAAATTTTGGGGACAAAATTTCGTTAAGGAAGGAAGAATTGTAACACCTTAAATTTTATTGGGTTTTAGAGTATCCATAGGCACCTTAAAATGGACCTAGGATTAAGTATTGTGCCTAAAATGGTAAAACAGTAAATACACACACACACACACACATATATATGTTAATAACTAAAGCAATTAAATTTAACAAATGTTTGAAACTAACTTTAAAAAAATTAATTAAAATAATAATATTTAGATAATTTTGTTAAATTTTGAAATATAACATATCCTCTGAAAATTATCTTGACAAATATAAGTATTTAAATAATAATAATAATAATATCAAGGAAAAAAAATATTATAAGCTTAAATTTATATATCTAGTAAAAACCCTATCTCTATATTTATTTAGTTTCATTCACTCTTCCCTAGATGTGGCCGCCTACTGTTTTTCAAGAGCTCTCTCTCGCAGGTATTCCTCTTTGTCGTTCCTCTCATCTCTTTTGGTTTCCTCCTCCCGTGCCTTATACATATAAGGAATATATGCTCGCACGCACAGTAGGTGAAAAGTCCATCACGTCATTCCTCACTTCTACTTTTCTTTACTCTAGCCTTTAAATTACATACATATATAATATTAGTTCTTCTTTCTCTCACGTCCTTTGCTTTTGAAGGGCTTTCATCTTATATATACATATATAATATAATAATATTAACTTGCTTTATGACTTACGTACTCGAGTGATACTGTTCCAGAGGCATCTTATAGCCTTATATTTATTTTGGAAAATAAAAAATTTAGATTAACACTTAAGAGTCTAATTCAAAAGAAAAAAAAGGGAAAATTTTTGAAATCCTTTAAGATAGCTTTAAGATCTTAAAGTAATTTTAGAGTCACCTCAGAATAGTTTTAGAGTAATATTTAATAACTTTAAATTATATCTGAATATTTTTGTGCGTATATGATTTCTGTAGAATCTCACTAAAAGCTTTTAATTGCCTGAATGTTTGCTGTGGGACTACTTATTAGCTCAAAGAGGACAGGTAACTTGGAGTTTTTCCGTATGTGTACAAGCTTTGTATTTTATAACAAATGCGTATAATCGTATATTTAATTGTGAGAATTTCATATATTACTGAATGCTGTCAAGCATGCTTGTAGCTTGGCTATATATTATTGTGGGTGTTTCTTTTCAAGCATGCTTGTGAATGCATATTAATAATATTTGTTTCATGGAAATTGTATATTGTTTAAGAGTAGCTTATTTCTTTCAAGCATGCTTGTAAATCTAGTTGATCGAATGAGATATTTATATTCTTTTCAAGCATGCTTGTATGCCATGTGAATGTTGTGTATGTGCGGCAGGCATTAGGGAATGGGTTGATGAGAAGATGATGATGTTGATGTATATATGCTTTCGATGACCACGTGGTTCGCCTCCACTGTGCGCACAGTGGTTGGCCTTTTTTTTAAAGCCTCGTTCCTCAATACTTACTTGGCTGAGTTTGTAAAAGGGGAATGTGGGACTGTGACACCTCCTGATTGGGTTTTTTTCAAAGAGGGGAGCCATAGTCTGGGCTTGGGCTCTGTACCTTTGACCGGATATATCTCAAGCACTAGAGAAGCTTGGTTAGTCCAGCGTGTGGGCCAGATCATATTTAAGCCTATGGTTCCAGTCAGCGGAATAAAGATGGATGGAGTAATAAAGGGGACTTTTCGTACTGCATAATGACATGTTATGAGCTATATCGTATGAAATTTTTACGTTATCACTGAATGATTCTTATGAACTCACTTGTATATTGGTTGTATAATTGTGTGGTTGTAGTTTGTGCATGTATGGTTAAACTTTGGGTTACTGAGATGCTAGTGCTCATCCCTTCTTTAAGATTTTTCAGGAGAAAGCCTAAGTAAGAATCAAGGGAAGGCGTCGAAGGAATGAGCCTTTGGCTCTCATACTCCTCACAGCACATGCGAGATTATATTTAATTTTCGATATGATTATAGGACCTTTTGTCATTTTTAGACCATATTCCTTTTGATCTATCTGCTTTTAGTTATTGAATGGTAGTCCACCAT